TGACTTCCACTTTAAATGAACATGGACTCCTTGGGAGTACAATAACCTCACCTACCAAAATCTATTGCCACAAACACTGTGCCGCTCATTGTTGGACCTAGTTTTTGTTGTTTTGTCAGAAAATATCTGCAGGCCCCGTGTGCAACATGCAGTACTAACCTTTGACAAGGTGCACGAGTGTGATAATCTCCTGGGCAAACGTCCCAGTGTGCATGGCGGTCTCCTGATATGTGCCGGAGTGCTCCAGCATGGGCAGGAAGTCCAGACGCTGGCGACCAACATTGACCAGATCTAAAGAGAGCTGCCTGTCTGAGGAATAACACAGCGGGCTGCAGGACGAGGAAGAAAAGAGGGAGATTGATACCAACACAATGAATAAACACATGATAAATGATCCTTGTGGCCAGGGAATCGGCGTTTGTTTAGCATGGCTTAAGTCACTGAAAATTAGCTTTAATGCCATTTTAATATTTAGTTTCTACACTGTGTTTACATCCTTACTTAATGCAGTGTTTTTTAAAAGATGGATCTTAAATGTACACTCCTTTCTGTACCAATCACACGTAAGTAAAAAAGTCGTTACCTTACCCAGTAAACTTACCTTTAACGAGTCCCACAAATCACAATGCTTACAGTAACTAGAGTCTTATTTGGTTGAATAAAAAGGAAGGTTTTCACCCTTAAGCGCACAGAGAATCACACCAATTTTATTCATTTTAATGGATATTTAAAAAGGCTTAAAGGAGAAGCCAGAGAAGCCCAATATACACTTTTTTTATTTTTTATTTATTTTTATATAACTGGCAGGTGAGTTAAAGCTTGGGGCGAAAGTTCACACTTCTTTTCTCGTATGAAATCTTCGACTCTTAGTTCAGATATCTGATCCGCTGTGGAGCTATCCATTATCATCCCACTGAGCCACTGATGAAAACCACAAGAAAGAATAAAAGCCCTACTGCAGGTCATGTCACATGACATGACCACAGGTAAAACACCTTGAATACCAAAAATCAGCTTAATAAATAAAGCCTGGCTCACTTCCTGTTTGACTTCTTCACGTTTTCTTTGTCTCATGCTGTTTGTGACAAACTGAGGTCATTTTATTTTGAAGAGTTCTTCGAGTGACTCCAAAAGACATTCAGCTCCAAGCTAAACAAATCCATTTGACTCTTTGTTAAAAAAGGACCATTTTTATGCTCCTACAGGCTAATAAATAATGCTAATAAAAATGTGTAAACAACAGAAACTCAGTGCAGTGGGCTGCAGCGTGAAATCAGAGCTACTGGTGGAGCTTGGACCA